TAAGAAAAAAAAACCGCACAACCCCAAAAAGGCTACCCCTCCTCGAAAATGCCACCCTCACCCCAAAAACCCGACCCTGAAAACGCAGTCCCTCCCGAAGATGCCACCCCACCCCGAAAACCTCATCCCTGAAGTAGAGCAAAGTCGCTCATGACGGGGGCGTGTGTCGGACGGAGAGCTGGGAAAGGGGTGGATATTCTGACGATGCGACGCAGGGGTAGGGAAGGGGTTGGCCGGCACTACTATAAAAAACCCCTAATAAGTCAGACTTTTAGAGTCACCTGTACATACGGTGCGACTTATAAACCTAACGAGTCGCCTCATACTTATTAGGTGACTTGTTAAGTTGGGGTTAAAATCAACAAAGCACCTAACGAGTCGCCTAATATCTATGAGGCGACTTGATAGGCTACCAAGTCGCCCCATTTGTGCATGCGACTCTATAACCCGGCTTATTTGGTGGTTTAAATTAAGTGTTTTCCGATGGATTTTCATGTCCGTCGGAACCGTTCCGTCGGAATTAGACCTTTTTCTTGTAGTGACGTAAGGTGCGACTCAAAAACCTGTGGAGTCGCCTTATACATAGTAGGAGACTTAATAGGTGAGTTTTGATAGCTATAACTCTCACCTAATGAGTCGCTTAATATGTATAAGGCGACTTAATAGTTTAATGAGTCACACCTTATATACAGGTGACTTTGAAAATCTATTTTAAGCCACCGAATAAGTCAGATTATAGAGTCATATGCATATATGATGCAACTTGTAAACCTACCAACTCACCTAATGTATATTTGGTGAATCGTTAGGTGTTTTGTTGATTTTAACTCCAACTTAGCAAGTCGCCTAATTAGTATGAGGCGATATATCTACAAGTCGCACCTTATATACTGGCGACTCAAAAAGTTCGACTTGTTAAGTGCTTTATTATATGACCACTACCTAATAAGTTACCTAATATGTAAGACACGACTCGATAGGTTCTTACAATATATTAAAAATAGTTACAATATCGTATCTACATATAATGTAACTTTGGCACAATGGCAAGAACTTCAACCTTCCAAGCAAAGAACCAGAGATTAAGCATGCTAAGTAGAATCGGCACCCAGCTTCACCATTCTCCAAGGCGACCCACCCCTTCCTTTCCCCCTTACCCTATGCCCACGGCCATTGCCGCTGCCCGAGCTCTAGTGCTCCTTGCAAAAGCACCAAGCAGCTTTTAAATATACCATCGCAGCAGCCACGCACAAGCACACTAAGTATCATCATCGCAGCTTAGCAACCCTTACACCAGCATCTGCGGATAACATTGTAGCTCAAGGGATTGGGTCATGGTGGTGAAAGAAGGGGATGGGTTTGAAAGGGTTAGGGTTTCGTTGGGACGTTTGGTGGTCGCGCGGTGGGTAAAGGGGAAGGTCGGGGTAAGGGCAAAATGGAGGGGAAAGGTCAGCTAGGCTCCGGAGACCGCCGGCGTTGCCGATCGTTGGCAGGGGTGGCGGCAGGGAAGGTGGTATGGCTGGTGGGGGGAGGGGTTTTATGTGATAAAATTGGAGGGAAAAGGGGTGTAATTAGAAGAAAAGAGGAGCACGTGCTAGTCACGTGGGAGTCAACGCCTGAATCCGGTGGTCAATGGCCTGAAAGTGGGGGTTGGTCTTCCTTTACAAAAAAAAAATAAAATAAAATTAAGTGGTCTGACTTTGCAAAAAAAAAATTTATAAGGTTGTCCCAAACAAAAATTGCTTTATAAAAGGTTGTCCCTGACAAATTTTCCTAGAAAGAAATATTAATTTTTTATGTGTCGCCTCTTTCAACACAAGCGACACCATAGATTAACCTATTGAGTCGCCTCTTTAACCACAAGTGACACAATAGCTTAACCTATAGAGTTGCCTAACAACTAATAGGCAACTTATATAAAAGCTATCGAGTCTCCTCCGAGGTGACTCCTAAAGTTGGAAGCTATCGTGTCGGTGGTTATAGAGTCGCCTTTGAGGCGACTCGTTAGGTCATTTACAGGTGACTCAATAGGGGTTTTTTTGTAATAGTGCGAGCATGGGGCAAGCTCCAGCATAGGGAAGGGGCCGGTATAAGTTGGGTAAGAGTGAAGAAAAAGGGAAAGTTTTTTTTTTTTAATAATTAATTTATTGATTTTTTGACAATTACATATTATTATTTTTTATTTTTGAATTTTACATGATACTATTTTTTTAAATATCAAAACAATATAATGGAATGAGAAATTGAGTGAGAAATAAAAAAAAAGGAGGAAAAAAGAGTGGGAGGTTAGTTAGTAGGCCCCACATAAATGTAACATTTGAATTGAGAGCCAAGTAGGTGAGAAATTTCGTTGTTTTAAAAAATATAGTAGGTAGTAAAATTCAAAAAAAAAAAAATAAATAAATAAAAAATAAAAAATTATAGGTGATTATTGCTAAATAGCAACAATTGTAGGTAGTAATCATCAAAATTTCTTTAATTTTTGTTTAATTATTTTTGTTTTTTAAATTAGTTTTAAAAAGGACTAATAAAAAAATGTGACGTGTTGCAAGTCGCCTTTTAAAGCCGGTTACCAAGTTAGCAAATTAGTGAAGGACCATTCTAAGCAGATGGGGGGCCAAAGGTTGAAATGTTTCCAAATTACTTAAAAGTGGGATTGTTTTGAACAGTAGAGGCAAATTTGAGATTATTCTTTTTAATGTTCCTTTTTAAAGTAATAGAGTAATATAAATGTGGTGAAAATCTATAAATAAATAAATAAATAATTTTTTTTAATTTTTTTTTTAAAAACAATCTGATGCATCATAAGTAAATAGATTAATGATGCTAAATTTACGCTATTGATCTGATCATGAATCCATGCTAATGCAATTTGAAATAGATTAATAATGCTAATTTTTTTATTTGTTTACACTATTGTGAAGCATTTATTGAGAGGAGGCGAGGAGCTATTAATGGTTATAAGCGATTTAGCGTACCTAACAAATTGACATGATCTCACTTTTTGATAATAAGTGCATCATGAATTCATCAATAAGTAGGTTGTGTTGTGGATTTAAAATTGTTACATACTGTATGTATAGTCTAACACGTACATTATCGTTGGAGTTATCCACTTCTCAAACCACATATGTATTTAACATTATGTACTTTGTATAATTTTACTACTTTACTAGTATCATTTTCTTATCATCAACTAGATAATGTCCGAATTATGCTCGGATTTATAATTAATACATATAATAAATCAAAATTGAGAAATTTACTCAATAAAAATTGATATTTAATTGCTAACTGGCTTAGGTTCTAATACAAAATCTTTTATGAAAAAAATACTCCGTAATAAGGAGAAATGGAATTTAGGAAAAAAAAAATCTACAATGAATTCAATTGTTGATATCTAGTAGATTAATAAATACACAAATAATTAATATTTAATTTCATAGGATATGATGTTGCCATAAATAATTTTGGGAAAGTATTAAGTAGACAAGGTAGCTTAAAAATAATTATAAGAAAAAGGCAAAAGCTAATGAGCGACCCCGGGGCGTTAGATAAGAGAACTAAAGTGCAAATATTAGAGTAAAATTAACATTAATTACACCGAACGACGCGTGATTTTATCATGAATTCCTAAGTTAATACCATTTAAGCCAATATAATTTATCCTTATCTAACGCCCCGGGGCGCTCGTTAGCAAGATCGTAAAAAAAAAGTGGTTGTAATATGCATGTTTTTTTTTTTTTTTTTTTGAATAGAGATGCATGTATGTATTTCGTAGAGTATAGAATGGAGTAGATTTTAGTTTTGATTTGTATCAATTGTGAATTAAGAGTTGGATTTTTTTATTCCAAGTTTTTGTACATTTATATGGGGTGATTTTAATTTTTTTTTTTTTTTTTTTTTTGTATAAATAGATTAATTAATTATGAATTGTGTAGAGAAAGAAAAAAAACTCACAAATTTTAAGGAGTAAAAGTAGGATAATGTTTGATTAAAACAATTGAAAAAAAAAACCCTAAAGCATTTAGGATGTATTATGTAAATTTCATTCAATTATGGGTATAGTTGTGATAGTTTAATACCCACCAGTGACAATTTGAGGGAGAGGATTCCCTTAATTATCTTTCTTCATATATACTTTATGCAAAATAATCCGGACTAGCTAGGTTGACCTATGAGAGGTTTCGGCTTGGTAAGATAGCCTTTCATCTTATCTACTCATACGAAAAAAAACCTTGGACATTGTATTAAATGTTGACAACTAACATGCATGCATGGTATGGTATTCTGAAGTGTGACCCAAAGACAAGCTACAAGTAGGGGTTGTTGTTTTGAAATTGTCTTTGTATGTGTTCTTCTTGGTGTATAGTTTATGTCTATTATTATGGCATACAAAATAAATAAGTTTAGTATGCCATTTAAATTTTTACATGATGTTTTTCCAGTTCGTTGTCACTTTTGTTAGAGATATTGATAGATTGCTTTGCATTTTGCATGTAAATTATCATTGAACCTCTTTGGTTTCCATAGTGAAAGATTGCCAATTAAATCTTCAATTCTCCAACTATTAAAACATTTTCTATGTTTAAATCCATTCATTTTTCTCTTTGATTATTTTGTTGTTCTATATCGGTTGTTTTATTATTTTTTGCAAAATTGTATAGTATATCATCTATTGTTCTCTACATCAAGCTTCAAGCTAGGTTAGTTTTCGAGGATAAACATGTATTCTTATTTTAATAAATCTATCATAATCTCATATTTTCAAACTGTGTTGGTAGCTAAGTATTGTTAATTTTAAGTAAATTTAGTGTTGTAGAATTCTATTTGGATCCTCGCACTTCTATAAATATTAAAGAGATCAAAATTTGAATTTGTATAAACCGGCGACCTAGTTTCAATTGTAATTGTATATACGCTTAATATGCTATAATTGAGAAATTCTCAATGAAGATTATTTTGATACAAACTAACAAAGCAAAAAACACATCTACTTATATAAGAATAATAATTTCTCTATTAATTAATGTCATCACTTAAAGACTAAATTGCTAAGAGCCATGTTTATAAAGTAAAAAAAAAAAAAAAAAAATTAAAAAAAGTGATGAATATTAAGGCATTTAATTTTACTAGCAAAAATAATATTGCTTGTTTACAATGTTCTTGAGACGAACAATAATAAGAGCATTAAAAATAAAAGCAATAATGCTTAGTATCAAAGGAACGTGCATGCTTTGAACCTCCGGCCTACATGCTTCTTCTTCATTTTAGGTGGCCTCAATGCTACCTTTATTGCTGAATCAAACACTGTTTTCACATTCTGAAATATTATTAAAACCCAATTAAACATATTAGGAGTTTATAATCAATCATTTATTTAATTTTTAGGGTATTTAGACAAGATTCTTAAGCAAGAGTAATGATTTCTTAATTAAAATTCTTTCATTACTACCAAATGTTCTCATTTTTGCTAAATCATCAAATGAGAGGCTCTCTTTTAACAACTCACTTTTTTTTTCCTCTCTCTCTCTCTCTAACCTCTAATAGTGCACTTCCATTCGAGACAATATAACCAATTACTTCTCATAATAGTTTTTTGATAGCTACTCTACTGAATAGTACAAAAGTCATAATATTGCATCTATTTAATAATGAAAATATATATACTCCTTTCGTTTCAGATAAGTTGAATCATATTCTTTATAAAGCCATGTTGAATATTAAACTATACTTTCATATGAGAAATAGACTATTTTTTTTATTGAATTATTTTATAATTTTTAAGAAAGATTTATTTATATATTTTCTTAATAATTACTTTTATTTTTTATTTTTTTATAAAAAATCATTAAATTATTTCGCTCATTGTATAAAAGCTGTGACCTAACTTCTAGTAACTTCAGTAAAAAAAATACACTACTCCGGAGTATTACAAAGTACCATTTACTCGATATTTGACTAATTCGAAACAGAGAAAGTACCTTGAAATTGTAATTAATTTTATATTCTCTTTCAAGTTGTTGGTAAAAGTCACTTGATTGACTTAATTTCTAGAGTAGCACATGCTACACAGGCCCACATTTGATCAAGTCCATTTATCAAATCTCAAATTGGGCCTTAGGTTGTATTGATCAAGTCCTTATTTACGAGTATTTTTAGTCCTAAGATCGCCAAACCAAATAATAGAGGCCAAAGGATTACTTTTTTTTTTTTTTTTTTTTTCCAGGTTTTTATAGGTGGTACCCCTGAGTTATTGGATTTTCTACATTGTACCCTTTAAAATTCAAAGTTCTACAAGGTGCCCTTGAGTTTTTGGATTTTTCTACATAGTACCCTTGAGTTGTAAAATAAATAACTCGAACTTAATTTGACTCAAATTGACACCATCTAAATGATCTATTTACCACTTGTGTACTTATATTCGATGGAGGAACCACCGATTTTCATTATTTGCTATTTAATGGAAGTTTTGTGTGATTGTTTGAGATGGAAGATAAGAAATTTTCTTGCTCCTACTTAACTAAAAGAGCTTGTTTTAGAGTTGTTAGTCCTTTTTTTGCAATAAACATGCTAGTTTTGTCTTTGAAGGTGCTAAATAAGTCGTTTGGATGGTGTTGGCTTGAGTCAAATTAATTTAGAGTAATTTATTTTACAACTCAAGGGTACCATATAGAAAAGTCCAAAAACTTAAGGGTACAATGTAAAACAAATTAATAACTCAAGGTTACCTTGTAGAAATTTGAATTTGAGAGGGTACAAGATAGAAAACTCAAAAACTCAAGGGTTCCAGGTAGAAAAACCCTTTTTTTTCTTCTCAATTTCTCATGTCCATACTTTTTCTATTTTGGGTGCCAACCTATACTTCAAGATGTCAAATTTAAAATAAAACCTTGTATTACAAGCTTACATTAATACAGTTAGCACATAAGCTATTTGGATCGACTAAATCAAGCTCTAATCATGATTTAGAAATGAGTATTTCGATTTCAGATCAGTTATAGGTCAATATGATTCATGACAACTTCAAATAAATTTGAAAAATGTCCGAATTTAACATGGTTGGATAATTGGATACTGAGTACATGTTAACTTTGTTACTCATATTATAGTAAGTACCTGTTGAGTCTTGGCACTGCATTCGATGTAAACAACGGCCCCAATCATCTTCTTTAGCTCCTCACCCTGCTGGACCGCGTTAAAACTTGTTAAATACTCCTCTGTTTTTTTATACTTGCCACACACCTTTTATTATGCTTACCGATGAGGTGATTAAACTTGATAAACGAATGAATTAGATTATAAAATTTAAACTGTAGCAACTTATCCCTTTCTTCTTATAGGTGGTAAAATTTTGTAAAATTAATTTATTCGCTTATCCATTCTAATATCTTCCTTAACATGCGTGCTAAAGGAGTGTGTTGCAACTAAATAAAAAGGGAGAAAGTAGAAGTTAAAATAATTAAAGATTATATAGGATAAGTAAGTAATGATAATTGGAACCCCAGGCCCAAAAAGATTTGACCTTCCCCCTTTGCCTAAATAAATAAATATAATACAACTAGTGATAATTGTTTATCAAACATTGGTTTTGTACAAGTAATGATAATTGGAGTAACTTGTACTACAATTAAAAAACCAACTTGCCTGAGCAGTAGTAATAGCTGCTGTCCCTGGATGATCCTTTAAGAATTGCTGGTCCTCTCTCAAATCTATATATCATTATTATTGTATTCAACAACATTATTATAGCTTACTTAAGCTATAAATTAACAAAAGCTTATAATCTAATTTAAAGGTTGTTGTGTTTAACTTACCCAATTTGGCTCCAACTAGCACAATTGGCACATTTGGGGCGTAGTGTTTCAGCTCTGGGATCCACTGTTCATGGTTTGCATGGATGATTAAAGTAATAATTATACAGATTTTCAAATGGAAAATTATACTAATGATTATCACTTAAAAATAAAATTTCTTAGAAAATACAATACAACAAGTTGTTACCTGCCATTATTTATAGCAACACAAAATACCAAAAAATAAAAAGGTAAAGACTGAACTGATTTGACTTGAAATTGATCTTAGATCAAATACTGTTTAAAATATGCGTCCTTGGACTATACAATGTACGTATTAGTTATTAAACATGCATAATGTGAGTTTTATAATCGTATATATGATATTTCATTGATCTTTCCAATATGAATTGAATTATAAGAAGGCTTTGTTTACCTTGGCTCATTTAGAGTCAATATGTCACATTAAATAACATGGAATAAAAATAGTAATAGCATAAATAGTTGTGTAATTGCTTATTAATTTGGTTATTTTATTTACCCGACTTTCACTTATATTAATGCATTCAAATGTATTTTAACTATACACGATTTTTTTTAAAGGTTGTTTAAACTAATGTTAGATGCCAATTAGTTCCTAACTTGTGCATTCATTTTTTTTTTTTAAAAATTCCAAACTTGTGCATTCATGAATCATGATATATAACCCCTTTTCTAAATATTGTTTTTAGTAAATTAATCTTACTCCATATTTAAATCCATCAAATTTTATTTGAGTTTATTTTCATGAATTTAGAGAAAATGAAAGAAAAAAAAATGTAAAAAATGAAGCAGTTAATTAATTTGCTAATTACTCCATCAAAATTACGCGGCTAATACATATGATAGAAAATTGATTGAGATAGAGAATTGCAAAAGCTTGAAATGTACCTTCTTATAGATATTTTCATAACTAGCCTTACTGATCAGTGAAAAAGCCAAGAGAAACACATCAGCTCCTCTGTAACTTAGAGGCCTTAATCTGTTATAATCTTCTTGTCCTATTATTTCATAACCCAATTTTATGATTTTAGCAAATATACTTAATTATTATTCATCATATAAAAAATATGAAGAAATGGACTAACCAGCAGTATCCCAAAGGCCAAGGTTCACAGTGTTACCATCCACCACCACATTTGCGCTAAAGTTGTCAAAAACTGTTGGCACATAATCCTGGAAAAAGAACAAGTATGAAGAATATGAAATCGAAAATCTTTATATGATCGATTTTTAAATGCATGCAACGAAAGCTCATTAGAATGTCTCTAACGAAATAGCTGCTTGTTTGGTTGATCATAAAATTAAAATTACTATTTTTAAAGCAAAAAGTAGTCTTTACAACACCCGATCCTCCCATTAAGTTAGTTATAAAGACTAACTAGGCGTAAAACAGGATATAAATAAATTTCGACAAAAATAACAAACGTACCGTAGGGAAAGTGTTGCTAGTATAGGAAATAAGCATGCATGTTTTTCCCACAGCTCCATCTCCAACAGTAACACACTTGATAAATCTAGCAGTACTCATATTAATTACCTTGTAATTAATTTCTTTGGGTAAATCTATATTGAAAGAACAAATCAATGTAACCTAAGCTACTAAAAAACTAAACTTCCTAAGAGTAAGACCTTGTATATATTCCAACCCATTTCAAAAAAAGAGAATCCTAGGAAAAATGTAACAAAAATTATAAGATATATTTTTATTTAATTAAGAATCATATTATAACTTGATATATAATAACATGTTTATAAAAAGAAGTGTTGGTGGAGTTTGATGGTTCTAACAACTTAAACAACCACCACTATATAGGATTATAGGTAGATTTATTTTTTTAAAAAATTATAATATAAAGTTTTGTTTCTAATTGATGATTATAACACCAATGACTTTGCTTTCCTTTAAATGCAAGGCTTGATAGTTGCTAGTACTATCCAATAAAAACTAAAGTAGGTCTTTTTTTGGTGGTTAAAGTGATTGAAAGGTAGAAAAAATGATGATAAAAAGGAAATGGTGGTTGTTTAGCGAAGCAACATCTTTTGACAATTACTAGAGTTTATATAACTAGATTTAAACGGACTTTATACATTGATAATTCCTCGGAATTGGTTAGTTTTGGAAATTTTTATTGTCTTGATTTTATGACTATATAATGAGGTTCTTGTGAGATCATATGGAGATAATTGGTTTTATGACTATATAAATAAATTTTCCATTCTTATTTCTTATTTGAGGTTTTATAAACCAAAAGTTACTCAAATATGTTACTCCGTATAACTTACTGATAAATTTAGAAACAATATGAAATGGGCCTGGGCAACTCGAACAAGGAGGAGGAGAGTTTGGTCCACAAACAAGGCTTAAGAGATTCTTTTTTGATATTAATATTTGATATTAATCCACCAAGCAATTATCATTTATCATCTATTAGTCCACAAACTAGTCGCACATAAAACGGCAAAACGTGCTATGTGACTAATGTTTGATATTAATCCACCAAGCAATTATCATCTATTGATCTTTATTTCTTTTTTTTTTCTTCTTCTTCTTCTTCTGCTTATACAAATCACAAATGATAGTGATGTATATTGACTTTATGCCTAGGACACCATTGCAAAACTTAAAGATTTAAAGAAGGTGATAGTATCTTGTGAAAAAAAAAGTTGATAGTAAATAGTTGAATTGTTAAGTTTAAGGCACACATCATATGTCATAAATACAACTCAATTGTAGATAATTTAAAACCAAATTAACGAGTTAAATTTGAAATAGATTTCATGAACATACTCATTGTCCACTTTTAAATTTCACGTCTTTTAAAAATTGCTTGTATGACTTTTTCTTTTTCTTTTTCTTTTTTTTTTTTAAATAAATTTAAATTATGCCTACAAAACAATACGCAATATTTATGGGCTTTTTAATAGCAGGTATATTACTATTTACTAATGAATGCCCCCGGGACATTTGATAACAATTAAAAATATTTCCAAAAATGATACTCGCTCGCCTTATTTTTAGTGTCCTATTAGGGGGTGTACGTGGATTTTTCGGCAAAAGAGTAAAATAATACTTCCTCTATCTTTTTATAGTTGCAACATTTCTCTTATCACGCTTGTCGATCCATGATTTTAATCGTTAAAATCTTTAATTACCAATATTTGAATATTATAAACATTTGACATTAAAATAGTAAAAATTGAGACAAATCTAACAAGATCTCACATGATTATTATTTTACTTAAATATAAATTATCAAAGCTAGTCAAAGTACTATATAACTGGGTATAGTTAAGAATAAAATTTTGGAAAATTTGTCAAAAATAACACCACCTTTGGGCGGTCTTCCCATAATAGCACCACCTTTTGATTATTCCAGAATAACAACACCTTTCACATGTATTTGCCAAAAATGAAACAAGAAACCGGTTACTTGTTTTTCAGGTAATTTTGGGACACACGTGTTCTAATTTGATTGGTTAATTTATTATTTTTAATTTTGAAAAAACTTTAAAAAAAAAATTAAACCCCTCTTTCCCACTTTCCATGCCCCTTTACCCACTCCCCTTTCACCGGCATCCACCACCCCCACCAAGACCAATCACCTGAAACCAGAAAAAATTTAAAACCCCCCTTTCACCGAGAACCACAACCTTGATTTCGGGCTCCTCCCTTCCCCGTTCCCGATTTCAGCCCCCACCTCTCCTCCCCGTAGAAGATTCAATCCCCCTCCCTTCATCATCCCCAATTTTATTCCTTTTCCCTTTACACAACCAACATTTTCGATTGGTTATGATTTCGGGGGAAGGAGATAGGTAGTAGGGGCCGGAAATTGGGAAGGGAAAGGGAGGGCGTATCGAAAATGGAGAAGGGATGGGTAGGGGCATCGAAAATGGGGAAGGGAAAAGGGCACCAGACATGGATAAAGGAAGGGGGAATGGGTGAAGGGGTGTTTAGGGCGGGGGAATGGGTGGAGGGGTGTCGTTTAGGGGAGGGGGGAAGGCTGGGGAGGTTGATCGGCGGCGAGGTTGGGGAGGGGGAGGGGCGGCAGCGAGGGTGGGTACGAGGTGGGGGCTGGCAGGGAGAGGATGACAGGGGGGCTAGCCGCCTTGGTGGTGGGTTCTTTTTTTTTTTTTAATTTAAACTTTGTTTTTTAATTACTAAGGTTTTTTAAAAAAATAAAATTGACCAATGTCATTGTGACACGTGCACGAGTAACCTGTTTTACAGGTTACAAACCGGTTTTGTTTCATTTTTGGCAAATATATGTGAAAGGTGGTGTTATTCAGGAATAATCAAAAGGTGGTGCTATTATGGGAAGACCGCCCAAAGGTGGTGTTATTTTTGACAAATTTTTCTAAAATTTTTGGAAAAGTAAGAGAGAAATATAAATAAAGGACCACTAGATATAATGTGAGGGAAAGAAATATTATAACATGATGGTGGGGTCAAAAGAAAGAGGGAGGAATAATATACGTGTATAATGTGAAATTGTGAATGAGACTTCTAAATTTAGTAATGGGGTATTTAAATAAAGGAAAATGTTATGCATAGCCCTTAGGGCTACATATAAGCATTAAATTTTCATTTGAAAATCGTAAAAAGTTAAAAAATCATAAAATTATAAACACTAATTATAGTGATTTACGCGTGTTTTTATCATGAATTCCAAAATTTATATAATTTCCAAGAGTGTATTTTATACTTATATATAGCCCTTAGAACTATATGTATCATTACCTTTAAATAAAAAAAGGTCGTTTTGAAAAGTGGGACACTTAAAAAAGCGAAGGGGACATTAATTTGAGAATGTATTCTCAAATCACACATTGACCGGGATAATTAATGTTTATTTTAATTAATAATTCCATTTTTAGTGATCTTATCCAAGGTCCGTGTGTGGGTGTTTGTTAGCTTTATATTGTTTTTTTTTTTTTTTTTGACAAAAGATACTATTAAAAAAAAGCAGAATTACAACCTAATACTAACTAAAACAAGAACACTTAACAACCTACGCACACTAAGCACCACTACAGGAAGATCTTGCAAAGAGGTCTTGCAACAAACCAATAACTGCGCAGTCGAGATGGACTAAAAGCGCAGATCACTAATATTGAAGAGAACCCGAGCTGGCACTGAAAGCGAAGGGAACTCGAGATGAAAACTGAAGAGAGATGGAAGAACCCGAAGAATGCACCCTGTTGCTGAGGAACGTACCTGTGACACCATTCCACTCCTAGGGAACGAAAAACATAACTACCTCCTAGGAGTCCGGGAACAAAACCTATAGAGTCAGATACCTCAATGACTCTATGAGAAACCGTGCATCCAAATGCAGGTTCCCCTCTTGCAGTTCTACCAACGGAGAATGCAAGAAAATGGAGGACTTTGCTTAACCCAAGCATTAAAGATGGGTAGCCTCCTTCAAGATATTATTTAACAGTGATGAATGACCTTGTCATCACCCAAACTAACCAAGGGATGATAGCAATTGATTGAATGCCCTTATCATCCCACAAGCGAGCAACAAGACCTGCAAACCAAACTCCTCCCTTAAAACCACCCTCCTCCTGCAAATGCCATATGCAGGGAAAACTATCAAACCGCGCAAATAACTTTTCCCCCTGGTGAACTATTTTAACTACCAGGGGAATACCTTTACACCCCTACAAGACTACTATTAGGACCACCCACTTAACGTAAAAGGGTTTACTTAATCTTACAACCCTCATAACCCACCAACAAGGCTCCAAAGACCATGACAACACTTCGATAACTTCCACAACTTGAACTAGTCTATTATACTCTAACTCAAGACTAAGCAGAGAAAGAGAATTATTAAGCAACAACAACCCAAGCAATAAAACATACAACTTATACAAAATCATCATAACTAAACTAAAACAAAGCTAATAACAATTAAAAGAAACAAGCATACAAAAAGGTGAAAGAACAGAGGAGAAGGCCTAGAAAACCTGAAAAACCTCAAAGGCAGCAACCCCACCCTACACCACGACCAAACGTCCACGGCGACACAAGAACCCCTCACTGAACCGAACCTTGGATATGCGAGGAAACCCTAACCTTAACTTTACCTTTACCGTCGGGAATTAATTAACGAAATTCCTTTCGACGGTGGTGTTAAAGCTAGCCTTTGGTTCTTGATCTGTAGAAGCAAGCCGCAAAACACTCGATGGTGAACCACTTACACACAACCACGACCGAAGAGGACCCCCGAATTCACACCAACTGACCCAAAATGAAAGAGACAGCAGGGTAGGGCTCGCCGACAACGGCTAGGCGGACTGGGCCAGTCGCCGGCGAGCAGGGGATGAGAAATAGAAGGGCGGTGGACGATAAGATTGGGGGTTAGAGAGAGGAAGGGTCGAGAGCTTTTTTCAAGAACTAGCTTTATATTGTTAGTTGAACAAAAATTGTTTAGTTTGATAGACATTGCCACATGCCTACATACATCTATATGCTACACCAAAAAAATGGATATATGAGGTAGATTGTAGATAGTAGAACAAGTTAAAAAAATGGCTACTATAGTTGATTAGATACCACAACGACAATTATACTATGCCTATTCATACATGCCGATAAATTTTTTTCTGAAATGATGAATGTTGATGAGAAATTTTCTTATTGATGATTACAGAAATAAAGGGCAGATAAATGTAATAATTGATGAAAAATATGATAGTGTGTGTTAAGGTTATGATGATTGATGGATTTGCAAGAGTATAAGTGTATAACACAAGGGGAAAATGTGTCTTGCAAGGCCC